GGTGTTCTTTAACTTCTTTTGAATAATACATTTCATGGTCTATAGCACTTTCATTTTCTTGTTTTTAACACTTTAATGAACACAAGAAGACACTTTCTGTATTTGCGTAATGGGATCAACTGACTGGAACCAAAATCCAGTCAGGAAATACAACAAAAATAGTTTAAATTTATTTTTATTTTCCAAACTGCATCATTGATGGATTAGAACTTATAACGTTTACATCAACAATATTATATAATATTATGGAAGGTTCAACTTTAACTGCCAATGGCCATCTCATCCTATCTGGCTGTACACTGTAGTTGATGTTACAATTCTGTGGTCTGGAGATTAAGGATTATCTTGGGAATGTTCATGAAAGTCAAATCAATTGTTGCACACCTAATTGAGGCAGTTGTTAAACAGATGTCCCTTGTGATTAACCAGGGTGGTAAAAAAACCAGGTATAAACATGACAAGGTTAATGTTGGTGGCAGACAGCACTTGTCAGGAAAGCCTTGTTTCTACAATATTGCCAAAGAATCTGAAATATTGTATTTTAAGTAAGAGCAAGAAACCAATGTTTCGCCTTTCGCTTCTGACCTCAATGATCAAACATTTGGTACATTAATACAAAGAATCAATACAAATTTTAAATGTCACACTTTAATAATATTTGCTGAAATTATTACGGAATATACCTGAATACTCAATCTAGTACTTAGACACTCCTCCAAGTACTACTGTCAATTATTGTATCAAATCTTTCATTGATATAGTGACACATGTTTATCTGGGCATGATGGAGTTTGTTGTATCAGATTTATTGATTATTAAGATATATATCTCCTAAAAAACACCAATAAACAATGTAGTCTAGCACCAGAGACTTTATAGGGTTTCATACTGGGTTCCGTGTTAAATCTCATGTTTTTTCAACTGTTATAATAATAACAGACCATTTATATTGCGCATATTTCCACATCACACAGGGGCATGCTCAAGGCGCTATTATTACCCCGGCCACCAGATCTCTGTGCACTCAATCATTCTCAGCTCCCTGGGGAGTAGGGAACCCAGGCTGCCTGTGAGGTGCTGGAAGGTTAACAACCATATTGCCATCTCATCCTACTGGGTACCCATTTACTTCTGGGTGAACAGGACCGCCTCCGTGGTCTAGTGGTAGAGCGTCCGCCCGGAGAGCGGAAGGTCCGGGGTTCGATCCCCGACTGCGTCATACCAAAAGACGTTAAAAGATGGTACTTGTTGTTACCCTGTCTGGTGCTCGGCATTAAGGGGCTAAAACAAGGACTGGTCGGCTTGGAGTCAGTATACTGTGTCTGAGTGGGGTATTCATGTTAAACTGCGGCATGGTATCTCAGTGAGCTAGCACTATAAATCGGCATCAGTCCGGGCTAGTACAAGCAGCCACACACACACACACACGTGCATGCATGTCGCTATATAAGTGCAATAATGTTGGACACAACGTTAAACCCCATTTCACCTCACCTCTGGGTGAACAGATGCACATTGCGAACAAAGTCATTTACTTCCGGGCGAACACAGTCATATGCTTCAGTATGGGGCAGGACCAAAACACTAGAAACTCTCAGGAGCCAAACTGCCGAAATGCAGTCACCCATCCAAGGACTCTCCGCGGCCGAGGCTGCTAAACTTCACCACATTTGTGACCTGTGCGCAGTGCACAGGACCACGTGCCACCACATTCTTCTTGCTCTCTTTCAACATAATCTTATATTTGCATGCAACACACTGCTCATCCAAAGTGAAATGTCAAATGATGTAACAGCAGATGTTTAAGCTTAGTGAATCCATAACACTGCTTATTTACGTTTAAAATACCATGCTGTCTTGTGTAACAACACTTGAGATCTTTACAGCCTTTGCAGGTTGGCCTTGATCTCATTTTAAATAGGCGTTATTTGGCATTTCCTGCTATTGATTTCAAGTCAGATCACATTTCAAGTTGGAAAATTAAATGCTATTATTCAACTCCCAGCTGTGCTCTTGTATTGTTAGTCCACATTCTTTGTCTGTTAAATATTTAAGGCAGGGTGACACAAATTATTTCACGGTGAATTTTAGGTTTAGGGTAGTCACTAACTTTAATTTTTAATGCATTAAAAGAAGACTGACAGTAGTCGTATTGGGTAGCCATTGTAACCATCTGATCCACATTCAGGGGGCACGGGTGGCCCAGTCGTCTAAGGCGCCGCTATTGGCTGTGCAGAGTTGCGTCCTTTGGGCACGCCAGAAACCTATGATTGTGGGTTCGAATCCCGGTTCGCCCTGATTATGTTTCTAGGTTTGTCAGCACCATACCTGTGCTCGTGGGTTTCACCGAAGTGGTAAACGTCTGAGACCTGCATCACTTCGGGCTTTCCTCCCTTATTAAGCTGACACGCCATGATATACACATGTAACTGTAATACTGTTAAAAGCGGTGTTAAACCCAACTCACTCATTCACTCTGATCCACATTCCCTAGCTATGAAAAATATGGAAGACTGAGACCCCCTGATTCACATAGTAGTAGCCCCAACCTGTCACAACTGGGATTTGAACCCACAATCATTGGTTTCTGCCGTGCCCAAGGGACACTACTCTGCACAGCAAATTGTGGCACCTTCGATGACTGGGCAACCTATGAAGAACAAACGTGTCTATAGAAACTTGGTCTCCTCACTTTATGGCTGGAATAATGCTGATACGACGTTGAATTTTAATTTTTATCACTCACTCACTCGCTCACTCACTCACTCACTCACTCACTCACTGAGACCACCTGATCTACATAGTGGTGACTGAGGATGAATTGTACTCCTCGGCCCAATTCCTGAAAGCGATCTTAGCGCTAAGGTGACTGTAAGCCCCATACTTTAACTTAGACTTACGATCATCGTGGCGCTAAGATCGCTTTAAGGAACGGGGTCCTGGGCCCACTTGCGAAAAGCTGTTTTAGCGCTACGATGATCGTAACTCCCATACTTTAACATAGGCTTACAATAGTCGTAGCGCTAAGATCGCTTTGTGCAAGTGGGCCCTGGTGCTGAGATAGTGTGCAAACTCAAATATGCAAATTTGTTGTACTTTCAAACACTTTGTGTAAATGTTACCCTACCTTGGTGTCACTTTTAATCCCAGCGTCCTTTGCATGGACATGTACACAGACATACACGGCACCCTGGGGGCAGTGTTTGACAAGTACTGACTTCATGAACTGTTGCAGCTAATACCATACTATTTTGTTTCAGGTTTTATGGGATTTGAAGCCAATAATGTAAGATTCAGTATGGAAGAAACTGTCAGGGTACATATTGTTCAGTTAGGAATATAAATCATCAACGCCAGAGAACAATCAGTCCCAATAAAGGACCAAAACAGATTCCATTGGATGTAAAAGGCAAAATAGTGATAAAAGTTATATGAAAGGATCAAAATAAATCAGTGAAGACACCAGGTGTTCACAAAAAAAGGTAAGCGTGTCCTATTCTGCTGGTAGAGAAAACAATCAATTTATTTAAAAATGGCCCCTTGACTGAAAAAATTCTTTAATTTTCCTAAAATATATTGATAAGAAGGTTGAAATAAATCTGATAGCAAGAAGAGACTCGAAATAAGTAGTCTCTCAAAAGAACTGATTTATCTTTATTCCATAGTTTTAAATACAAAAATGAAAAACAGGACTTGTTGGTTAGTATTATTGAAAGTGTAGGAGATAGAAAGGTCTCCCCTGATCCTTCTTTTTAATACAGCCCTGGTACATCACATAAAGTCACCTCATAGTGGCCCAGGAGGCACAGGTGTTTGCTGGGCAGAGTTGCATCCCTTAGGTGTGTCTGAAACCTGCGGTCATGGGTTCGAATCCCAGATTCACACTGATAATGTTTCAAGGTTTGTCATACAAATGACTGAAGTGGTAAATATCCAAGACATTGCTTAAGTCTTTCCTCCAACATGTAGCTGAGATGCTGTGAAATAACCCAAATACTGTTCAAAGCAGAGTAATCCAAACTCACTCACTAACTCACATTGGCCCTTGGTAAAGTAGGACATAGTTGTCAGGGGAGGTAATGATCCTTGTGAAACAAATTCCGCTTTTTAGAAAAACTGTACTAATAACAAATACTTGTCCCAGCTGACTCATTCATTTTTTTTTATCATTGATTCCTGATACCACAAATTAAAGATTCCAGACAAACTCCATTTTGTGTGTTGTCTGAGTTAATTTGACATGAAACTTGGAGCCTACTGTCTCCAGGTGATGACCTTATCAAGGCATACAGTGTTGAGTCTCCCTAACACTGTCTCCTAGCTGCTGTATACTATGTCTGTTCATCAATGAATAATTTGTCTTGCTCCCTTGCACTGTGATTAATGAGGGTCAACTGTCTTGTTTTGTGACTGTGGTGGGATGCCAGCATCACTCTACTACCAGTCTGTGCCCCAAATGTCCGAGTCCACTGGCATAGATTGTCTCTTGGCATCATTTTATGTATATCAGTATAACTACATTTATACTGAACAATCAAAATTAGGGATCATGAAATTTTGGGGGATATTTTTATGAAATTGTGTTCTCACTAGTCTTTACTATTAGAAATATCCCCAAACCTATTCATGATCCCTATAATTTTTTGGGAAGTATATATGGAATTTCCTAGCTGTATGTTGTAGAATATACACAATTATACATATACCATGAATTTGGAAATTACTGTTCTGATTGGTCAATCAGAGGTTTCAAATCACCTTAACCACCTCTGATAAAAACAGTGAGTAAAATTCAATTTCATTTTAGCATGGTAAAATATACAGGAAAGTTTAATGACTAGTGGCTGAAGTCACAGATTGCCAATCATAAATGTTTGTGATAATTGTTTTGTCATCACAGTTTTGTTTTAAGTTCCAGATACCAGAGCTCTCCTCCAAACTGGTGAAAAATAAGTGACAATAAGTGACATTCTTTGAAAGAGTATTGTCCCTTGTTCCAGGTGCCCCCTCTTCCCAGCCACAGGTGGAGGAAGGCAAGCTGATGCTGGAGACACTGCAAGGCTTTGTCATGTTCGTCAAGAAGAACTGTACGATTCTGTATGTGTCCGACACTATAGAGCAACACCTGGGTCTCAAACAGGTGAGTGTACAGGATTCTGTATGTGTCAGACACTATAGAGCAACATCTGGGTCTCAAACAGGTGAGTGTGTACAGGATTCTGTATGTGTCTGACACTATAGAGCAACACCTGCGTCTCAAACAGGTGAGTGTACAGGATTCTGTATGTGTCAGACTCTGTAGAGCAACACCTGGGTCTCAAACAGGTGAGTGTACAGGATTCTGTATGTGTCTGACACGATAGCGCAACACCTGGGTCTCAAACAGGTGAGTGTGTCTGACACTATAGAACAAAACCTGGGTCTCAAACAGGTGAGTGTGTCTGACACTATAGAACAAAACATGGGTCTCAAACAGGTGAGTGTACAGGATTCTGTATGTGTCTGACACGATGGCGCAACACCTGGGTCTCAAACAGGTGAGTGTGTCTGACACTATAGAACAAAACCTGGGTTTCAAACAGGTGAGTGTGTCTGACACTATAGAACAAAACCTGGGTCTCAAACAGGTGAGTGTGTCTGACACTATAGAGCAACACCTGGGTCTCAAACAGGTGAGTGTGTCTGACACTATAGAGCAACACCTGGGTCTCAAACAGGTAAGTGTGTACAGGATTCTGTATGTGTCTGACACTATAGAGCAACACCTGGGTCTCAAACAGGTAAGTGTGTACAGGATTCTGTATGTGTCTGACACTATAGAGCAACACCTGGGTCTCAAACAGGTGAGTGTGTCTGACACTATAGAGCAACACCTGGGTCTCAAACAGGTAAGTGTGTACAGGATTCTGTATGTGTCTGACACTATAGAGCAACACCTGGGTCTCAAACAGGTAAGTGTGTACAGGATTCTGTATGTGTCTGACACTATAGAGCAACACCTGGGTCTCAAACAGGTAAGTGTGTACAGGATTCTGTATGTGTCTGACACTATAGAACAACACCTTGGTTTCAATCAGGTGAGTGTGTACTGTCAAATGAGGATTTATGAATCTACGTTGCAGTGTAACACATACACAACAGTTTTGTGCAGTGTTTATGAAGTGGAGGTTGACAGAGAGCCAGTGTTTAAAATACCCGCCTGCCCAACAGTCCGAGTTGGTCTATTTTGCTGACTGATGGTCAGTTTTGCAAAGTTGCACTCCCGATGGTTGGGAGTTAAAGTTACTTAGTTGACAATCCACCAGTTTATTGTTACTTTCTGAGAACGAACATAAAATAGTACTAATGTTTACCCATTTGTTACTTTTTTTAGCAGTGAGTGAGTTATCCCAAGCATGCGAGTATACAGACCAATTATACCATCTCATCCTACCAGGTACCCATTTACTGCTGGGTGAACAGAGGCATAGTTTAAGCAATGTCCAGGTCTTGCTTAAGAAGGCACCACATGTGTACTGTGCTTCAGTGCAAGCCACGACAGAAACTCTAGGAACTATCAGAAGTCAAACTAACGAACACAGACACCCATCCACCTACTCTCTGCCACCAGCATTGCTCAGCTTCACCTAATTTGTGATCTGTGTTCAGTACACAGGACACATTTCACTATGTTTTGTAATAGTGATAATTGTAATGTCATTAATGCTATTTGTTTTACAACTATGTGTATAATGTTGGTATACACATTTATTTGCTCCAGGAAAACCTCCTGGGAACGTCTTTGATCCACATCATCCACCCAGAAGATGTGAGAGAGCTGTCGAAGCAGTTTACCGTCTCTGTACCCCCCCCAACAGCTGATGGTAAGAAAGGGCATGAAGTTTGATGTGTAGTGTACACATATTTCATCATGTGGACATTTGCATAAGAAAATAACGAGAATTGAAATTCAAAGTCAGTTTAGGAGAAAATCCTATTGTGCTTTGAAATTTGAGGTAGTCTAATTGTAGATTAGATACCTCTTATTTTAATTTGTTTCAAATATCAGTCTTCAAATATCAGTAAATGTGCAGAATCACAATAACAATGGGATGTATTTTAACTTTTTCATTTTCCTTACAATTCAGTGTCGGCAAATGTCAAGGACATCCTCCAGTCAGAGCAGAAATGCTCTTTCCTCATACGGATGAAGTTTCAATTTGGTAAAATTGATGCGAGGAGTCGTCAGACAGGCTTCGTGGTAAGTATGCTGCTCTGTGTGCACAGCATTGGAAGCACTGTGACAAAATAAATAGTCATACATTCTTCCTGACATCCAATACACATCAACACACAAGACACACTATCACACATAACTCTGTGACATTCAATACACATCAACACACAAGACACACTGTCACACATAACTCTGTGACATCCAATACAAATCAACACACAAGACACACTATCACACATAACTCTGTGACATCCAATACTCATCAACACACACGAGACACACTATCACACATAACTCTGTGACATGCAATACGCATCAACACACAAGACACACTATCACACATATTCCCTTGATATATACATGTATATCCACTACTCATCAACACACACAAAACACACTATCACACATATTCCCTTGATATATACATGTATATCCACTACTCATCAACACACACAAAACACACTATCACACATATTCCCTTGATATATACATGTATATCCACTACTCATCAACACACACAAGACACACTATCACACATATTCCCTTGATATATACATGTATATCCTCTACTCATCAACACACAAGACCTACTGCTAGTTCTGACCTTTACCATGAGACTGCTTCAATGCACTTCTTTATACATATGGAAGAAGCACAATCTAGTTATACATGTTTATGCCCATGAAAGATGAGAAGGTTTGTTTGGTAATTAAACACACACACAACCACATTCCAGGTTGCGTAACTGGCTTGATGGAGTGTGTGGTGTAGCTGATGCCCTCTTCCTCATGTAGTTAACCTCTGCCCTGCCAGGGGCGCTCAGTGTAACCAGACTAGTATTCTCTCCTACTCATACCGGCAGTCACTCGCACACTCCCATAGGTATCAGGGTTATTCCTTCTTTGCTTCAAAGACGCAAAGGTGGCAGTAAAAACTCTTATGTATTGAAACAGAAACATACCGAATGTGAGAATGTTAAATGTAACTATGGGGAAGGTTCTCAAGTAAATTGATTTATTGACTTCCTGCAGTCGAAATGTATATGCTGTTGGCTCCCTGAGTTGGCTTTGGTTTTGTGTATCAATAAGTATGAAACTTGTCAAGATAAGCCCTTTATGTACCTAGGATGTCAATATGCATCTCAATCCATTATGCTCAATCCTGACCAAAGTCTCTTTGTTCTATTTGTCTTAGAAATATGATATATATGTATATGAATTATTTATTTCTTGTCTGTTTGCTCTTTATTAATTATCTTTGATACAGAGGGCATAATTTGAAATATCTATAAACTATTTATTTCTTGTCTGTTTACTCTTTATTAATTATCTTTGATGCACTGGGCATAATTTGAAATATCTATAAACTATAAGTTTGTTCTTTTGCTCTTTGTTAATTATCTTTAAAGCACAGGGCATAATTTGAAACATCTATAAACTATTTATTGCCTTTTTATGTTTACTCTATATTAATTATTTTTGGTCAATTTGAAATATCTATAAACTGTTTACATATTTCTGTTTGTGTTTGACATCTTTATTTGATGTACAGTGTATTATGTGAATTACCTACAAACTGTATATTTGTGTTTGTTCCGCAGCTTGTACACTGGACAGGCCGCCTGAGATTACGAGCCTCCAGAAAGGCGTGCGGCTATGCCATTGAAGGCCTTGTGTGCATGTGTCAGCCCCTGCAGACAAGCGCCCTCCTGGAGATTAGGATGGGAGGGAACATGTTCATGAGCAGACATGACCTTGGGATGAAGTTTACATATTGTGATCCCAGGTATGCCTGCACTTGCTTCTCTCTTCCTGCATGGTGTTCTGTATGACCTGGGACAGCCTTGCTGTGTTTGTTTTATGTCTATTCATTGATAAATACTCCAGGGCCCACTTGCACAAATCGATCTTAGCGCTAAGATGATCGTAACTCCCATTCTTTAACATAGGCTTACGATAGTCTTAGCGCTAAGAACGCTTTGTGCAAGTGGGCCCAGGAGCGGTCATGCAAACCAGTGGTTGACAGTAGGGGTTGGACGAGTCCAAATTTACTACCCGGGTACCAGACACCCTTTTCCCAGACCCTACCTTGGTACCTGCTATGGGTCTCAAGAGTTGGGTACAAAATGTCCAAATGGAAATTGTTTTACCGCAGCCCTGGCACAAACTATGGAGATACATGTACAACATGTTCTGCTCATGTATACACTGATGTTGACTGATGCTTTATCTTTCGTTGACTCAATCATATTAAAGCCAGAAGGAATGTTTGCATGGTCAGAAAGAATTGCAAACATAAGCAACTTGCAGTGTAACCATGGAGTTTTATTGTTATTATCATTGAACAATATATCACATGATCACCTTGATATAAATATCCACTTCTCTTACCACGGGTCTGGGTAGTCCTGTGGGTACCCGGGTCCTACTCAGGACCCATCCAACCCGAGTACCCAAGTTACCCGTCCTAGCCCTGGTTGATTCATGAAAACAGAAAGATTTCCACCCGTAACCCCGGTTTCAAATTTTGCCTAGGTTAGGGCAACCTAACCCTAACCCTAACCCTAACCCTAACCAAACATAATTGATTTTTAATACTTCTAGCCAGGGGTTATGATTTTTCTAAAGTTTGAGACAGGGGTTTCGGGCAGATGATTTACCTGAAAAACGATACATGTCTGGAGTAAGATGAAACACAATCAGACAGATCAGATACTATAACTACCTGATCTTCATTGGTTGGCTGTTATGTCCAGCATGCATGATATACTTGGTATTATAGCTAAAATGGATAGAATTATCATTAAACCACCCGCATGTTATCAGAAATGAGCGGGCCACTGTAACTTGATAATGCCCTCATATTGCTTGACGACAGGCCATTATCACGCCCGTGGTTAGGTGACGTCATAGGGATAGGTGACGTCACATTCAATAGTGACATCATCTGGTTCGTTCTATGACGTTTACATTTTTGTAAAAGTGGGTAAGTGACATTCGTGTTGATTGCAGTAAATGTTTCAAAACTGATATTGTTGTTTCTTTTTATTTGATAACAAATCCCATCCATTTTAGCTACATGTATAACAACGGTAACGCTATTTTTCAGGGCATTATCATTTGCAGAAGTCCTTGGTCTTTTCAACTGCCCTCCTTCGTCGGGCAGTTAATGGAAGACCTCAGGCTTCTGCAAATGATAATGCCCTGAAAAATAGCGGTACCCTTATACTATTATGGAACAGTCAAACCCTGTCTGTCTCGAACTCGGTGTGTCGAATCCCTGGTTGTGTCGTAGCGCTAAGCTGTTTCATACAACGGCACCCAGTCCAGGCAAACCCTTACTGGATTTATCAACCAAGTGTGTCAAACTGGAAGTGTAAAATTCCCTGTTGTATGGAACGCAATTTATGGTCCTGGAGTTAAAATATGTTCAAATTGTCCCTGTTAAATGAAAATCAATTTTGTTGATAAACATGACTTAGCACAAAGATATACCTCACATGGCTTATGGGATATGAAAGCCTATATCACCTGACAGGTTAACTAAACATGATTGGTTGTTTGCAGAATATGAATAGTTGCATGATACCAGAGTTGGTGCTCGCACTATCAACCCCTTGTTTATCTGTCTGGTGGCCTAAAATAGTATACATGAGATCGGGTACCAGAGGGTCACGCCTGGTTCCGGTGTCTCTCTTTAGTGTCCTTACTGTAATCTCTCAGTCTAATCTCTCAACAAATAACACCTTCAAGACACACATGGTGCAGGAGAAGTCCCAGGTGAGGAGGTGAGGTGAGGTGAAATTGGGTTTAACGTCGCGTCCAAGATTATTGCACTTATATAGCAACGTGCATGCACGTGTGTGTGTGTGTGTGGCTGCTTGTACTAGTCTGGACTGAAGCCGATTTATAGTGCTAGCCCACTGAGATACCATGCCGCAGTTTAACATGAATACCCCACTCAGACACAGTATACTGACTCCGAGCAGACCAGTCCTTGTTTTAGCCCCTTAATGCCGAGCGCCAGACAGGCTAACAACAAGTACCATCTTTTAACGTCTTTTGGTATGACGCGGTCGGGGATCAAACCCGGACCTTCCGCTCTGTGTGCTGACGCTCTACTAACTAAACCATGGAGGTGTGATTGTTTACATATATCGCTATCATATGGCTTGAATATTGCTGAGTGCATGTTAAACAAACAAACATTTCCATCACCACATGCTAGTAATAGCTCTCCGGGCTGACGCTCTACCACAAGACCACGGAGGCGGTCCTCAGGTGATCAGAATCCCTGTCGGAGCACCTGTCAACAACAGGTGAACATGATGATGCTTGATGGTATATTGGGCCCTAGAGATCCGGGTTAGAATTGGTCTTCAGCAACCCATGCTTGTCGTGAGAGTCAACGGGATCGGGTGGGCAGACTTGCTAACTTGGTTGATGCATGTCATCGTATCCCAATTGCGTGGATCGATGCTCATGATGTCAATAACTGGATTGTCCGTCCGTCCGTCCGGGATGACCCACAGAAACCAGCTATGAAATGTATGGTGTGTTACAACCCTGTTTCTATTCTTATAAAATGTCTACATTAAAATGTGCCTGTATGACAGAAATGCATGGAAATGGGGAGTGCTCAGGTAGACCAGACCGGTGGATGTTTATGTAAACTCTGTCACAGTGCAGGGTCGTGTGTGGAGTGTTCAGTGAGATAACATATGACATCAAGTAATAACATTCATCTGGGATGAGGCTAAACAAGCAGACATCCTCACAATAGATCCCTACATTTACTTTTCCGACGATCACAATAGATGTAACATTCCGTGGCTACGGCAGTAAATTAGTTTTAAAAAAAGGATGTAACCAGACCCTGAGGCTTATTGCCAGAACACATGAGTATATTCATTTGTGGTTTCTAGCATCAGCAATACAAGTCATGGCATATTCTAATGACTGAGGCACATTTCTGTTTGTACTTTGATGAGGTAACAGTGGAGGTATAAATAAATACAGACAGCACAAAACCTGACAGGTTGTTATAGAAGTAAAACCACAAGGGCATAAAACAAAAACCTTGCTTCCTACATATCAGCATGTTTCTCAGGCTGTCAAGACTCTGTCATGCTTTGGCTCCTAACAGAACCACCGATGTTGGAACCTAAATGAATTATATATACACATGATGGTTGTTGCTATGAACAGTGCTGCACACTTTGTGGAATATCTAAAGGTGTCCAAGGATGATTTCATGGAAACTTTGTGACCATTTTTGTTTCTTGGTGGGAAGGACATTTTTGGAGAGGGGTCAAGTATTTTGAAAAAAGGGGTGTGCGTGACTGAAGTCATGAAGTTGACAAGATCAGGGGTTAACACTGGTGAATAGTAGGGTGTCTAAAAAAGGTGGTCTACACCTCAAAAGACCTTCTCTAGATCCCCAGTGTTTTGGATGTGGAATTGAGTTCTGAACTGAACTGGGAAAAGTTCCTTATTCTGCTTCTGTTAAACTTTTCTGTATATCAAGGAACAATCTAGGAAACATGTAAAACAGTCCCAAAATTGATTTTGCTGTTAAGGAATCAGCTTTTGGTCTGAAGGAACATTGCAGTGAAGAGATGAAATTTATGTATCAGACAGTTTCAGGAAATTTAGGAACAGTTGGTTGTGGAACTGAACTCCCACAGATAATATTGGGGTAGAATAATCACGGGAATGTTTGTTGTTTGATTGCATTAACAGGTTTGATTCTGCTGGACGTGTTCAAATTAGAAACATTTTTGTCACAGAATCATCACACTGATTGGCTACGAACCAAACGAGGTGATTGGCAAGACAGCTTACTACTTTCACAATCCACTCGATGCCTCGAAAGTCAGCGACTGTCACTCCAACTGTAAGTATTACCTTAGAGTGAGTGAGTATGGTTTTGCGCCGCTTTTAGCAATATTCCAGCAATATCACAGTGGGGGACACCAGAAATGGGCTTCACACAATGTACCCATGTCGGGAATCGAACCCGGGTTTTCGGCGTGACGAGCGAACGCTTTAACCACTAGGCTACCCGACCACCCCTAAGTATTACCTTAAGGACTGACCAGTTAATATTCAGGTTGAGGTGAGGTTTTAGTTTGAGACAGAATAAATTCTCAGCCTGCAATGTAAAACATACAAGCCAAAGAATTTCTTCTGATCCATGGCCCATTATTTTCCAGAACATCCAGAGTGAATAAATATGTCGAGTGAACAAATAATGTATTTGTTGTAGAACTGGAGGACATTTTCTTTCAGCATTGTCAGGAACAGATTATGTTTTTAGTACAAAAATACTGCCCCCTCCCCAATATCTCATTGTAGACCCCTTATCTCTCTAACCTCGGGTGTTTTATTGATTGTAATATCTGAAAAGAGTTGAAAGGTTGGATGAAGTGATCTATTTGTTGAATGTGTAGATATTCAAAATGCAACAACCAGCACATGTATGATTCTATTAATGTGGAAATGGTGTGTAAGTACACACCAAGCAGATGGTTGCTATGTAGAGGAAGGTAGTAATGTATGTAGTCTGAAAAACTGATGTAATGAATGGCGTGTTAGATTTTGATGAAAATAAAACTTTAAGTACTTAATAGAAATCTGAGAGGATGAAGCTAGTTGTGAGAGGGAGGGTCCTGTATGTGCTGCATTGTACACGGTGGAATCTGATAGTTGTGAACAGGAAATCGAAGTCCTGGTTGACTACCTAGGACAGGTAAAGTAAAGTGTAGGCTGAGACACCTTCATGGACGCAGTCAGTAGGACTAATGAGCTGAGGTGGAACGGGGTTTAACGTTGTGTCTAAGATTATTGCTCGTGTGTGTGTGTGTGTGTGTGTGTGTGTGTGTGTGTGTGTGTGTGTGTGTGTGTGTGTGTGTGTGTGTGTGTGTGTGTGTGTGTGTGTGTGTGTTGTAGGGGGGGGGGGGATGGGGGCAGGGGGCTGCTTGTACTAGTCCGGACTGATGCCGATTTTTAGTGCCAGCCAAATGAGATACCATGTCGAGGTTTAACAAGAACACTCCACTCAGACACAGTGTTCTGACTATGAGCCGACCAGTCCTTGTTTTAGCCCCTTAATGACAAGCACCAGGCAGGGTAACAACAAGTACCATCTTTTAACATCTTTTGGTATGACATGGACGGGGATCGAACCCGGACCTTCCGCTCTTTGGGCGGACGCTCTACTCACTAAACCATGGAGGTGTGATTGTTTACATATCGCTATCATATAGCTTGAATATTGCTGAGTGCATGTTAAACAAACATTCCCATCACCACATGCTAGTAATAGCTGACCAAGATGAGGACTGGATGTGTCATCATGCCCCAAAGATGTGAATTGTTGTGAGTTGTGAGATACATCTGTATACACCTGTATAGTTTTATTTATCATATAATGGGTAGGTTTCTCGGCAGGATAAAGCCAATGGATAAAAACGATATCCGTTGGGGTCATATGCGGATAGAGATGCAAATATCAAAGGTCAAGTAAGACTACTTCACTGTTTATAAACAAACATGGCATCGGCCCTCGTCATTCGGCGATCGAGTCAGAATTAACCATCGGTTTTCTGGATAAACTACAGGGATAATTGCTATCATTATCAAAAGAACAGTCTAATATACTGAAAATCAGTGTCTAACTGTGACGTGGCTAAGGTATTTTATAAGTTTTGGCAACTTTGGAGATATAAATTTCGAAACAATTTTGCGAGGACACGAGCCAAGCTGGATCAGTAGCCATATCTGTGCTTGTAGACCTCTTCGGCTTGAAACCTTCTCCACAAATCAAAATACCGTAGTTGGATTTGACCGAAATATGTTTGAATTGTTACCTTGTTTCTTTTTGTCGCTGTGTGTACATCTGACTACACTTCTTAACGTTATGACAGGACAGACCGACTGTCAACAACGTCTGACCGTGGCCCTGACGTCTCATAGACTAGGGTTAGAGTAGCCTCCCTTTGACAAAGAGCAGTTATTCTAGCGGACAGACCGATGGATTGCCGCGAAAGGCAATTAAAAACAACTGTTGTTTTGCGAATATGTTGCTTCGCCACTGTATAAGAAACAGATTTCAGTTGGAACTATATTGGCTACTGTCACTGTCCGACTGACACATCACTTACCCTGTGACGTAATAAATATTAATGCGCGCATTCCAGGAAAACTCGCAATGTTTCGGTAATGCTTGTGAGAGAGGGAAAGCGATTTTAAAGCACAGAATTAAAGAATGACATTATATGATAAAGAGGTTATCACGCTTGTGTGTTTGGGGATGGTAAATATCCTTTATTAGGAATAAACACTATGTATTTAGCTGGCCAAGGCTCGCTAAATACAATGTTTATTCCTAATGCAGGATATTTACCATCCCCAAACACACTCGCGTGATAACCTCTATTTATCATATAATGGGTAGGTTTCTCGGCAGGATAAAGCCAACGGATAAAAACGATATCCGTTTGGGTCATATGCGGATAGAGATGCAAATATCAAAGGTCAAGTAGGGACTACTTTCACTGTTTATAAACAAACATGGCGTCACCCTCGTCATTCGGCGATCGAGTCTGAATTAACCATCGGGAATCGGGATAAACTACAGGGATTAATGCTATCATCAGCAAAAGAACAATCTAATATACTGAAAATCATATTCTAAATGTGACGTAGCTAAGGCATTTTATAAGTTTTGGCAACTTTGGCGATATAAATTTCGAAACAATTTTACGAGGGCCCGAGGTCTAGCCAAGCGGGATCAGTAGCCATATATGTGCTTGTAGACCTCTGCGGCTTGAAACCTTCTCCACAAATTAAAATAGTTGGATTTGGCCGAAATATGTTTGAATTGTTACCTTGTTTCGTTTTTCGCTGTGTGTACATCTGACTACACTTCTTAACGTTATGACAGGACAGACCGACTGTCAACAACGTCTGACCGGGTTAGAGTTGCTTCCCTTTGAAAAAGGGCAGTTACTCTAGCGGACAGACCGATGGATTGCCGCGAAAGGCAATTAAAAAAACAATTGTTGTTTTGCGTATATGTTGCTTCGACACTGTATAAGAAACAGATTTCAGTTGGAACTATATTGGCTACTGTCACTGTCCGACTGACACATCACTTACCCTGTGACGTAATAAATATTGATGCGCGCATTCCAGGAAAACTCGCAATGTTTCGGTAATGTTTGTGAGAGAGGGAAAGCGATTTTGAAGCACAGAATTAAAGAATGACATTATATGATAAAGAGGTTATCACGCTTGTGTGTTTGGGGATGGTAAATATCCTTTATTAGGAATAAACACTATGTATTTAGCTGGCCAAGGCTCGCTAAATACAATGTTTATTCCTAATGCAGGATATTTACCATCCCCAAACACACTCGCGTGATAACCTCTATTTATTCTGAAACCTATCTGAATTTTACAAATATGAAATCTACACAATGTACCTATTTTCACAATTTTGTGCAGTTGTTGCTCTTGCAGCCATCCCTAAAATCTTGTGTGTTCGAAAATATTAGTCTATTCAACTTAATTACAGAATTACCATAAATTGTTTGCTTAATAATTTCACAATGTTGTATGCATTTATTTTATTAAAAAAAATAATATATAAATAAAATGTGAATTTTAATCCCAAAAGGATTAAGTAAAGTGTGTTTATCATGTGACAAGCATGCATTGCTGTGGACCTACAAAGGTGACTAAATGGATTGGGTAGTCAGGCTCCGTGACTGTTGTCATCATACCCCAACGACACGGATCGTTGTTAATAGTATCAATCACTGGATCGTCTGGTTGGGTTTGATTATTTACAGGCTGTTGTCATATAGCTGGAATATTGCTGAGTACAGCGTTAAATAAACAAGCAAACATCAGATTTCACATCGGTACAATGTGTAAAGTCCATAGAGGCATGATCACCACCAATGCTGGGCTATTGCTAACAGCAGTGTACAACCATAGTCACTCTGTAATACCAGTCCGCCTCCGTGGTCTAGTGGTAGAGCGTCCGCCAAGAGAGCGGAAGGTCCGGTGTTTGATCCCCGGCCGCGTCATACCAAAAGACGTTACAAGATGGTACTTGTTGTTATCGTGTCTGGCGCTTGGTGTTAAGAGGCTAAAACAAGGACTGGTTGGCTCAGTGTCAGTATGCTGTGTCTGAGTGAGGTATTCATCTTAAACACACACACACACACACACACACACACACACACACACACACACACACACACACACACACACACACACACACACACACACACACACACTGTAATGCCAATATTGGCACCCATGCTTGCCATAAAAGGTGACTAACAGGATCGCTGACTTGGTTGATGCATGTCATCGATCCCAATTGCGTGGATCGATGCTCATGATATCACTCACTGGATTCTCTGGTACAGACTCGATTATATACAGACCGCCATCGTATGGCTGGAATATTGCTGAGTGCGGCATTAAACAACAAACAAACAAAACCAATATTGGCCCTCCAAGGTACTGAAAGTCTCTTATCGAGCATAGGAATTCACTCTCCTTCAAAATGCTTAGAATGAGAACCATAGAGAACACAAGGCGTAGGCAGCTTATTACTGCTTGATCACATGACTGAGATGATGAAACTCTGGGTACTGATGCAGTATACTGATGCAACACAGAACACTTCCAACCTAAATGTCAACTCCTTCAAAATAGAATGAAATTCCACACACACAATACTCACACTATGAAGCAGCCATGTTGGCAGGGATGTTTCTGATGAAAGACCAGTCTGGTTTGCTTCAGATAGCCTCTGTTTTGGGGGTGAATGTAGTGTACTCATCGGGAAATGAATGGGGGGAGTGGAACTTGGGGTGATGGGGGATCTATATGCGTAGGTGCACGTAACAAACATGTACATGTTTCAGCCAGGCTTATCAGGGCTGTGTCGTCTATATAAGATAGTGGACGGGGGAGATGCTTGTTGTTGTATGGGGTGAGGGAATGCACTCTCTCAGAGCCAGACTGCTCACCTGTATCAAGTAACAATGTACAGGTAATTAGCGGGCATGCACATTCAGTGCAACTCCCAATCTTCGGTTTGCACAGGTAGGAACTTGTAAAGTGCGCATATGATTATTTTGGGTAAGTTATTCAATATTACGAGTTACTAACATTTAAAGATAATTATAATATTGTTATTTCACATATTTTGTTAATTTTAGTTTATATTTATGCTAATAAAGAAATGCCTAGAAAATTAATTCATTTGGTGTCTCACGTTGACAACGTTCTATATAATTCCATCATTCTTCAATATATTTCTTACAGGGTTAAAAAAATATGTTTTCTGGGGTTCGGGTGATGTTCATAAATATTCCGTTTCCTTGGCAACAACGAAAACCCTATTATTAAAACACAGGTCATTAGATTGAATCCATGACTGTGACAGGTGGAGCTGATACGCGTTTACAGACAAAGAAACATTAACAAGAGTGGGAGACCTTTTTCAACAGTGAGATGAGATGATTGTCTTTACATGTGAGAAGAGAATTTATGTGACGGATTCGTGTGTTCCAGTTGCACTGCTTTGTCTTTCAGTGATTGTTAAAGGAACATCAGTGAGCAAGTACTATCGCTTCTTTGGGAAGACGGGAGACTGGGTTTGGCTTCAGACCCGTGCTACCATCATCTATAACACTGCCAACAAACCACAGTATGTCATCTGCATGAACTATGTCATCGGGTGAGTACTTTCGCTGCTCTCAGGGATCGATTTGATCGTTGTTTGGAGACCCTTAAGCTATGATAGACAACTGCATTGTTGTTGGTAGACTTCTAAGCTGTATGGGTCATTTTGATCATTGAAGATAGACCTCTAAACTCTATTAGATGATTTGATTGTTATTGGTAGAACTCATTTGGTGATTGTAGGTTGAACTCTAAACTCTATTAATCAATTTGATCATTCAAACTAGACTTTAACCTCAATAAATCAATTTGATCATTGTAAGTAGACTTTAAGCTTTATTAATCAATTTGATCATTGTATGTAGACATTAAGCTCTATTAATCAATTTGATCATTGCATGTAGACATTAAGCTCTATTAATCAATTTGATCATTGCATGTAGACATTAAGCTCTATTAATCAATTTGATCATTGCATGTAGACATTAAGCTCTATTAATCAATTTGATCATTGTATGTAGACATTAAGCTCTATTAATCAATTTGATCATTGTATGTAGACATTAAGCTCTATTAATCAATTTGATCATTGTATGTAGACATTAAGCTCTATTAATCAATTTGATCATTGTATGTAGACATTAAGCTCTATTAATCAATTTGATCATTGTATGTAGACATTAAGCTCTATTAATCAATTTGATCATTGTATGTAGACATTAAGCTCTATTAATCAATTTGATCATTGTATGTAGACATTAAGCTCTATTAATCAATTTGATCATTGTATGTAGACATTAAGCTCTATTAATCAATTTGATCATTGTAAGTAGACTTTTAGCTCTATTAATCAATTTGATCATTGTATGTAGACATTAAGCTCTATTAATCAATTTGATCATTGTATGTAGACTTTAAGCTCTATTAATCAATTTGATCATTGTAAGTAGACTTTTAGCTCTATTAATCAATTTGATCATTGTAAGTAGACTTTAAGCTCTATTAATCAATTTGATCATTGTCGACATTAAGCTCTGATTTGATCAAAATAGGTAGACTTCTAAGCTCTTTTAATAAGTTTGATTGTTGTATGTAGACTTTAAGCTCTATTAATCAGTTTGATAATTGTAAGTCAACTTTAAGCCCTGTTAATCAGTTTGATTGTTGTAAGTAGACTTTAAGCTCTGTGAATTGATTTCACCATTATTGGTAGGTCTCTAAGTGATTTGATACTTGGTGTCAATAGATCTCCACAAGAACATCACTTGAATTCTTCAAGGTCTGAAGATCTCCAAGAATTCATCCCTTAAATTGTTCAAGATCTGAATATCTCAAAGACAGATTAATCAATTGACTGATGTCAGTTAACATGCAAGTGTGATTAGTATATTTGATCAAGACTGGTAGAGCCTTAGTTTAGGCTTTCTTGCAGACTATGCAGTTTATATGACTTTGCACAATATTCTATATAATTGTATGTGGTAAATCTTTTAGAGGACTATAACATTTGCTTCATATCATTCCTGCATTGGTCAGTGATTCCAGCGTGATGTAGGCTTCAGTTGCATGGGGAGGACACTGACAGGAACTTGTAGTGTTGCTTTGTTAAACAAGTTGAGTTGTATTATTGGAGGAATGAGGTTGAGTCATTGGCTGGTACCTAGGGTAGATGTTGTGTCGTGGAGTGGGTAGATAGAGTGGATGTTGTGTCATGGAGTGGGTAGAGTGGATGTTGTGTTATCAAATGGGTAGATAGGGGAGATGTTGTGTTATCAAATGGGAAGATAGAGTGGATGTTGTGTTATTGAATGGGTAGATAGGGTAGATGTTGTGCTATCAAATGAGAATATAGGGTAGATGTTGTATTATCGAATGGGAAGATAGGGTAGATTTTGTGTCATAGAGTAGGTTGATAGGGTAGATGTTGTGTCATGGAGTGGGTAGATAGGGTAGATGTTGTAATATCGAATGGGAAGATGTTGTCTTATCAAATGGTTAGATAGGGTAGAGGTGTTATTGAATGGGAAGATAGGGTAGATGTGTCATGGAATTGGTAGATAGGGTAGATGTTGTGTTATCAAATGGGAAGTTAGGGTAGATATGTCATGGAATTGGTAGATAGGGTAGATGTTGTTATCAAATGGGAAGATAGGGTAGATGTTGTGTCATGGAGTGGGTAGATAGGGTAGATCTTGTGATATTGAATGGGAAGATAGGGTAGATGTATCATGGAATGGGTAGATAGGGTAGATGTTGTTATCAAATGGGAAGATAGGGTAGATGTTGTGTCATGGAGTGGGTAGATAGGGTAGATGTTGTGTTATGGAATGGGAAGTTAGGGTAGATGTTGTGATATCGAATGGGAAGATGTTGTCTTATCAAATGGGTAGATAGGAAAGATGTGTTATTTAATTGGAAGATAGGGTAGATGTTGTGTTATCCAGTGGGAAGATAGGGTAGATGCTGTGTTATCGAATGGGTAGATAGAGTGGATGTTGTGTCATGGAATGGGAAGATAGGGTAGATGCTGTGTTATGGAATGGGTAGATGAGGTAGATGTTGTATTATGGAATTGGTAGATGGGGGTAGATGTTGTGTCATGGAATGGGAAGATGGGGTAGATGTTGTGTCATGGAGTGGGTAGATAGGGTAGATGTTGTGTCATGGAGTGGGTAGATAGGGTAGATGTGATATTGAATGGGAAGATGTTGTCTTATCGAATTGGTAGATAGGAAAGATGTGTTATTGAATGGAAAGATAGGGTAGATGTTGTGTTATCCAATGGGAAGATAGGGTAGATGCTGTGTTATCAAATGGGTAGATAGAGTGGATGTTGTGTCATGAAATAGGAAGATAGGGTAGATGCTGTGTCATGGACTGGGAAGATGGGGTAGATGTTGTGTCATGGATTGGGAAGATGGGGTTGATGTTGTGTCATGGAATGGGTAGATAGGGTAGAGGTTGTGTTATGGAATGGGTAGATGGGGTAGATGTTGTGTCATGGAATGGGAAGATAGGGTAGATGTGTCATGGAATGGGAAGATAGGGTAGATGTTGTTTTCATGGAATGGGAAGATAGGGTAGATGTTGTGTTATGGAGTGGGTAGATAGGGTAGATGTGTCATGGAATGGGTAGATAGGGTAGATGTGTTATGGAATGGGTAGATAAATCATGGGTGGATGAGTGTATGGGTTGGTGTACTGATGAATCAATGACAAATAGATGGATGGTTTTGTGATATATGGATAAGTGGATGGATGGATAGATGGATGGATTACTTGATAAATGGTTGGGTGGATGGATTGTGACAGATGGACAGGTAGAAGGGGGATAGTTGTGGAGATATGTATGCATAGATGGTTAGATGGATCATTTGATAGGGAGATGAATGCTTGGATGAATTCAATTATTTCACTGTAAGTCCCCTATAACTAAATACAACTGAATCCCCTCTAATCCTGCTGTTCCTGGTAAGACATGATCACTTAACTGTGAGGTATGGTTGAAGCTGCCAGGACCGCCATTCCTGCTGCCATCTTTAATGTACATGATGCATCACTTCACTAATGTATGTCTGCCATTCTCCGTCGCCACAGAGCTGCACGTACACGCTCACTTTTTGCAGGACTTCTTCCCCCCCATGCTGAATGCTGCATATTTGCATGTGCAATTACAACAGGGAGAGTGTGCTGAAATCATTGTTCCCCACTGATGATGGTTTGATTAATTCTGACATTTGACAATCCTGTGTGCCATTATGTATGGGACAAAATAACCTGATAGTTACACGGTGTGTACTCTTGTGAACAATCTACTTTATCATCACACAGGAGTCTCATATCACAGACTGATAAAGAAATGGAACATTTCAAAATATCTCTGTAGCCCTGTATAGGAATGGAGAAACATTTCCCATTTCACCAAACTGTTTTCTTTGTTTCATGAAAGATAGAATCTGAAAAGATTAAAATCATATCTAAACTGGGATTTCTTATTTTTGACAACATTGTCTGCCTGGAGAGCGGAAGGTTGGCGGTTCAGCCCTGGCTGCGTCATACCAATGGACCTTAAAAAATGGTAGTTGTGGTCTGCTGGTAGAGTGGAAGGTCCTGGGTTTGATCCCCGGCCGCGTCATACCAAAAGGCGTTAAAAGATGGTACTTGTTGTTACCCTGCCTGGTGCTCAGCCTTAAGGGGCTAAAACAAGGACTGGTCAGTCAGAGTCAGTTAACCACACCTTTTGACATTAGACGTTCAACCAACCCCATGTCAACATATGAAGAATGGGAGGTGTGTTTCACACTGTATGTAGCAATAGTGAAACTTTATGCAGCATGTCATGGTCATACCATAGTTGACATATTGCAGGCATGTTGGGATCAAACCCTGGATTTCTGTGACGTCTCTGGGCAACAAGCAAAAGCCTATACAGAGAAACTCCATAATCACATGGTACCATTCATGCTGTTTCATGTGTGTCCCAATTATGGAATCCTGGGTACAGAGTAATGTCCATTTTGTTGTTGATTGTTTTATGCCACAGTCAGTTGTGTCTCGGTGGCCTACAAATAAACCAGTCAAACCAGAAGTTGCTACCCGCAATGTTCCCTGGGGTACGACATGCAGCAACCATGGCACTGAATCTGACCATCTGATCCATTTTAATGGCCTCTTACAACAAAGTGCAGGCTACATGGGCCCTGAAATCCCCAGTGGGCTGCTGCATGTCTATATGCTCTCATGTAGACAGGAATTGTCAGGGTTTCCTTACTAACAGTCTGTACCAACCTACCCATCAATCTACCCACCAGTCTGCCCATCAATCTATCCACCAATCTACCCATCAATCTATCCACCAATCTACCCATCAATCTACCCATCAATCTACCCACCAGTCTACCCATCAATCTACCCACCAGTCTACCCATCAATCTACCCACCAGTCTACCCATCAATCTACCCATCAATCTACCCACCAGTCTACCCATCAATCTACCCACCAATCTATCCACCAGTCTACCCATCAATCTACCCATCAATCTATCCACCAGTCTA